CAGTGTTGTGTAAATGTCGGCTGGAAGAGGCCACATTGATTGGGATTCTCATGAAGCAGATGGATACAACTTACATTATAAAAGAGGGTTTATGAGACATAGCAGTCAAAGTGTGTTTGGTCAGGTTGAAGTTCTCTGCCTGGAGGATGTTTTGGGCTTTTGAAGACACCATAGGTGCCATAGAAAACCATACAACAGTGAGCAGCCTTTTCAACATCATGTGCCATCTCCATTCAGTAAGATATATGTATACTTCCCTTTCAGGCTCTCCTTGCCCCTCTGAAAATTGTGGAGCATCCCTTTGCATCATTGGACATGACACCATTTGGACTAGGAGTGTTAGATTAGCAGGCTTGTGTGGTCATCTCTTATTGGCTGGGCATGATCAAGACCACTGACACAGACTGTTTCTCGGCCCTCATGCAGACTCTGCAGGATAAGGAATTCTGATATCGACTAGGAACTCTCACAGTGACTCTTGCTTGGTCCTCAGGCATACTCTACCCAATCAGGAACTCTGACATGGACTAGGAACTCTGCAATCTCCTGTTGCTAGGTCATCAGACAGACTGAACGTTCTGGAACTCTGATATTGACTAGGAACTCTAATGGCAACTGTTACTAGGTCCTAGGCAGACTCAAGTTTGGCTCTCAAGGAGTAAGGTATTTGCAATCCTTGGCTACTGGTCTGAGCCAATTTCCTCAACCCTGTGGGCCTGTCCTAATACACATCCACCCTTTCTTTTATTACCAAAATATATTAAGGGACCCTGGTCAGCTCAGCTTCCATATTATCCACAACAGCTAACACACAAAATTTTCAAATTAATCAGACATGGGCAGGGGTTGTGGCCTTTGACTATTTTTTAAACTCTTGGCATGATATAGAAAGGCTGTTGGATATCTCCTGGATTCTCACTTGTGTTCTGATTGGTGGATGGTACTTTTAATCTCTCTGCTTTTTAAATGGCTTCCATCACACATCCAGCAACAACGGAAGCCACTGAGATGAATGTACAGAAGTCAATCGCTCTTCGACATCCAGCTCAAGGCCCACTACCGACATGTGCATGCCTGCCCTTCTGAAATCCAAAAGGCCTGACCGTCCTCACCCAGGGTGACTCCCCAGGGATGGACGCTCTTCAAGGACTGGTTGTCACAGATGGTAAGACCATGCTTGGCAAGCCAACCTAAGACAGGCACAATCCAGTTACTGGGAACCCTGAGGCAGGGTCAACAGGGCCTGAGCAAAGGACTCTGACTCCCACTGAGTACCCACGTAATAAAATAAAGGGTGGATATGTGATAGGACAGGCCCATAGGGTCGAGGATATTGGCTCAGACCAGTTGCCAAGGCATGCACATGCCATACTCCTTATGAGCCAACCTGGAGTGTGCTGAGGGCCTAGCAACAGGCTCTGTCAGAGTTCCTGATGGTGCCCAGCCAATGAGGGATGACCACACACAGCCACCAGATTGTGACACAGCCTGAGTGCTAGGCAGGGAGTATATAAGGCCTTCCCTGTTCTTGAATAAACAAGTTTGCTATTTGCATTCAATGAACTCTTGGTGTCTATATCATTGATGCCATTTCTTCTCATCCCTCCCCTAAGGGAGCTGCTAACTTCCACTAAAACCTCCCCGACGCTGATCCCAACTCTTCATCACAATCTGGAATAGTCTTATATTTACAGATTCCCCAGTAAGCCTGAGATACTTCTGACTATTTTCTAAGATTCAGGTCAAAAGTTTCTCTCTGGGTAGACCTGTTAACCTTAAGTTCAGCTACATGGAGTATGGATTCTCACTATATTTGGCTATAAACTGGTAGTCACAGTATATAAATTGTATTATAACTATATATAGTATATTATAAATATATCAAATATTATATAAATAATAATTATTATTATAAAATTAAAGAATCTCACCTGAGTACCAGGCTATTATATGTCACTCCAGCCTATTGATGAGGTCTGTTTCTAATAAGTGGGTTTTCCCAACGTCTACCCTAGCACAGAGAGTGAGGGTTTAAGGTTTTTAGTTAGAGTCTTATGCAAGGAGATTCTCCATGGATTACAAGTTCCAATGGGAAAATAAGAAAAGGTCATATTAGTCATAGAAACACATTTAACATCACCTTGTGCATAAAGTGAATGTGTGAGTTACTCTTGGACAAAGATAGTTTAATTTTCCCTTGTAGAGATAGGTAATATCTAATATCACATTGTAGAGGAAGGAAAGGCCTGAAGATCCCTCTGACCCATGTATAGATGGAAGATGGCTTATTTCAAAAAAGTGTATGGCAAATCTCTTTTAGAGTTCTGTAACCACTTTCTAGTTTCTGACTAGCTTGGGCAAGGGAATATTTCTGAAACTCTTTATTCAGAGGAGAAAAGGGTCTCGCCAATTTTTTCAGATGTGGAGATGCAATTCACATTTTGCAACAGGTGAAACCCTAGTTGACCTTGGTTAGTGGGAGAGGATTTGGGTTCTACCTCATTAAGTTCTCAATGTGCCTCCCAGTTACAGATATGCATACCATGAATCAAATGTTTGGGAGTGCAGAAAGAAATTGGAATTTTCTTCCAGAAGGATGTTGCTCATCTGAGCAATGATGCCTCCCCAAAAATTTGTTTGGCTCTATGGATGAAACAGTAAAATTTCATGTACATTTACTACCTTCTAGGCTGATGAATACAATTCTCTTTTAAACTCTATATCGTCTTTGTTGTTACATAGACCAGGATGTTGTGTGGCCCCATCTGAAGCATACATTGAATTGGCTGACTCAGTCTGATGGGGAGGCTTTTATGCGCAATGTTAAGTCAACATACAAAACAAGGTCAGCTAAATACATCAGAGGTGTAGAACTGAAGTGTCTTTGAAGAGATGAGTATCTGAACCACCTCCATGATCATGTGGAACACGTTGAAGTTTTCCATTATCAGATACTTATACCCAAACTGCCAAAGAAAGTACAGAATATCTCTAGCCCTCTTATTTGCAAGTGACATTATAGGTTCCCTAACCTCTGTGCAGTCTGGAAGCATCCAGTATTTTTTTCTACAGAGAAAGGGAGTATAAGGCACCCTTCATCTCAGTCCCTGATACTGAGTAGGAAAATGATTTAGACCCAATTGTAAGAATGGACAAATGGGAGTGTCATGTAAAACGAAATAAAAATATCAAAATATTTGAGAAAAAGTACAAAAGTCAGAAATAGCCTTTGTTCTAAGTGATGGATCTAACACCATATCTAAATGGGAGAAGGAATTAGCTAATCATGGAATCATGGAGTACTTGACTCCTCCTATGAAAGAAAAACTATGAGGATCTCTTGAACAAACTGAATATCAGAATCCCCTTAGTCCATGGTAGGAAGAGTCACACGTCCCTGTCTTAAAAGAGATCATCAGTGGAGGGATATCCCATCATGGCTCATCAGCTTCTGGAAATATTCATGCAGATGTTAGTATTTCATTAATTTGTCTTTGATCTGTGGAGACTAGCTAGCATTCAAAAGCTGTTTGTCACAGCAGGAATCACGTTACTGGCAAGTTTGCCTCATCTATACTGTGCTTTGATCTCAGATATTGGCATGACTGGTGGATTGACTCAATGTTTTGTGACTTGCTTGAAAGTAGATGGCCTGCATTCTAGATTCTGTTTGCAAACATTGGGCTCTGGGATACCCAGCTTGGATATCTTTGCAAAGGGAATCTCTCAAAGATCCATGTCAGAAAACTGATCAGAAAGCCATAAAGTAAAGGCTGAAGGGATCAAGACTCAGAGAACATGTCGGGCATAATAGAGAAGAAAAGGGATATCCCAGAATACCTCAGGCGAAAAAATAAATAAGTAAAGTTCCCAGTCTACCTTATGAAGGGTGGGATGATGCTGGAATGCAATATCAGATTCAACGTTCCTTTTATTTTACACTACCCATTCTCAAGGATTGAACCATGAACCCCAGGAGGTTCATATATAAAAGAAACTATATGTCAGATATTTCTATTACAACTCAGAAGAGCTACAAATCTAGGTATGTAGTAACTAAAAATTAATGTTGTAATTGGGGTCTGGAAATTCTTAGCCCTTGGGAGAAGATCTGATTCTTTTTTCAGTCAATGTTGCAAGAATGAGGAACATAGTAGATGTGATTTCTCAGAGGGAGGTGTCAGTGCACTATCAGGCAAACTATTTTTTTTTAAGATTTATTTATTATGTATACAATGTTCTGTCTGCATGTATCCCTGTAGGCCACAAGAGGGCACCAGATCTCACTACAGATGGTTGTGAGACACCATGTGGTTGCTGGGTATTGAACTCAGGCCCTATGGAAGAGCAAGCAGTGCTCCTAACCTCTGAGCCATCTCTCCCGTCCCAGGCACACTATTTTACAAAGTGAAATTTATACTCCCTTGGCCAGAAGAGGACAATTAGATACCACTTTCAGCAGACATTTACAAATATTGTAAGTGTGTTCTTCATAAGAGTTGCCATGGTTGTGGTATCTCCTCACAGCAATACAAACCATAAGACCACTACAGTATATTTCCATTGTATAAATGTAAAATTTATATTCTTTCATGTTAAACTCCATAATGATTTTGTGACCACAGAAGGGTCACAGAGCAGGTGATGGAATCAGTGATATGTGCTGCAGCAATACACAGAAGTTCTATGCTATGCATCTTTGATAGCCTTAAAATGTGCATATGGGAATTGTAATCTTCATTGTATACAAATTAACAAGCTCTACTCATTAAAATTTGCTTCTTTAGACAGTCATATAAATCATGGTAGAATTTCCCCCATTAAAATATTCAGTTCACTGTGAGTTCCATTTAGCAGAGTGAATATCATAGGTTATTGCTCAGAACCTGTGTTTATAGTAATGCAAATAATAACATAAATTAGCAATTTTAAAAGTGAAGTTTGAAATTGTTTCTCCTTTATACAGCAGAAGATCCAAGAGTAGAGTCCCATCATTGTCCTTCAAAGTTATATAATGTGTTTCCTTGTGTATCTGACAATAACTCACATCACACTAGACGTCCCTGAATGAAACTGTAATTGGCTAAATGTAACAGTGTCAATCTAAGTCCTGGACTGACTGCCAAACAGGACACTCTGACAAGTAAACAAGCTTCCAAAATGAATCACACTTTATATTGCATTTCACCCACAAAGGGAAGCAGATGGAAGGTGTTTTAGTTTATATACTCTGTAACGATTGAAATTCGGATCATTTCTCAAGAAGCTGGAAACCGAGACATAGAAAAATGAAGATTCTTCTGTTAACGGCTGTCATTGGGTTTGTTGGCACAGAAGAGGTACTTAATATTGGTTAAATTATATTTTTTCCTAAAGCAAAGCAGCTTGCAATATTGTCGTAGACAGTGCAGCGATCCTTATCAATCAGTCTAAAGCTGCTGTTGTTATATTCACAGTAATTCTATCCATCAGAGAAAATGGATTTAACATCTTCTAGTTTTAACAATGCTTGAGATTATAATAATTCAGTACAAATATATGGTTTGTGTATATGTATGGTTATACATGAAAGGCATTGTGATAGTATGCATTTCATAATTTTTAAAAAATAGAGCACAAGGCATATATAGAATTATTCAAATAAATATGAATTCAATTACTCCTTCTCTCCAAAAATAACTTATAAGCTTCAATAGCCATTTTAATTACTGTAATATTGCTGAAGTCTGTCTGTAGCAAGACTTTCTGTGGAGTTTACTTCACAACAATCTTAAATTTAAGAACATAGAAATGTGTTATAAACGAAATGTTTTTTAATAAGGGTAGGTATAATGTGTAGGTTCCTGTGCAGTAATGACATTTTTGTCTCAAAACTTACCGTAAATAAAATTTATTTGTGGGGAAATACTGGTAATAAACAATTAGATTGTTTACTTTTGAGTCATTTACTAGTACTGTGTCAATATGATAATGGAAGTGTGATATTGTTTTTCTGACCCTGTCACTTCGTGCCATATTACTTTTCACGTTTCACTCATTTACCTATGATGTTTATATTTTCATTCATCATCCAGGTCTATTTGGAATCTATACTGTGGTTTTCTTAAGTATTCCATTTTCAATGAGCATCTAGGGTGATGTGAGTTTTAGCCCTTTTGAAATGAATATTAAATAACGGATATATTATATATCTAGTATCAAGACCCAAAGTCTTTTGGTCAATTCCTAGGAGTGGTAGATGAGGGTTTTCTTCTAGGTTAACATCTACTTTGAGCAACTTCCACAAGCCCATTCAAAACCAACTTTTCCAGATTACGTGCCTGGTAGCCGTGGACATATGTTCCCTTTGGACTCGGCCCTCCTAACATTTTTCACCAGTCTTATCTCTGACCCCGTCCTCCATATGAAAAAGATGGAATATTAAAATTTTAATCAACCTTTCTCTTATGGTTATGGATATAAAGTTCTCTTCTTTGGAGGAATGTCTGTTCAATTTAACAATCCCATACAATTTTCGATCATTGTTGGCATTTATTACTTTTTTGTCATGAGATATGAATACATTGACCTCATAATTTCCTCCCTCCTATCCCCCTTTATGAGACCATATTAATTAGATTTTATGTTTTTAATTCTTAATCTTTTAGTTCTTTGTAAATTACAGAAACTAGTCTGGTGGAGGAGTGTTCCTGAAAAATAGTTTCTCTCTCTGATTTTTCTTTCTCTCCATCCTACTAGGGATTTTCTTTAATTGAATTTTTGGGGGAGATACCATTTGCCAATACTTGAACTTTCTTCGATGATTTTGGTCTTCCATTCACAACATCTTTACCTGTGATTAGAAAGTCAAGGGTAGTCAAAGAAATGTTTTTTTTTCTTTTTGGTTTTTCAACACCAGATTTCTCTGTGTAGTTTTGGTGCCTGACATGGATCTTGCTGTGTAGCACAGGCTGGCCTCAAACTCACAGTGATCCCCTGGCTCTGCCTCTAGAGTGCTGGGATTTAAGGCATGCACCACCATCACCCAGCTAAGAAATCTTTTTTGTTGTTGTAGTTTCAGTACTTAAAAGATACAAAGCATGTCTGTTCAGTCTAAGTTTGGAAAGGAGTGTATATGTACACACTATTTGCAACACAAATTTCTTCAATTTTTTCATAATATAGTTTATGCATGGAAGCTCAAAATTGTTTCATATTTCAGAATTGTAGTATTTAGATATAGGAAATGACATGGCTTACACATGTATCTCTGATAAGTATATCACAAAGGAATATCTACTAAATATTTTAATGGACATTGAAACTGGAAGTACAATATTTAACTAAGTTTTCAGAGTGCATATTCTTTTTCAGTTTTTAGAAAAATATCAAACCCTCTACTTAGCAGCTGATGATTTAAAATTAATAGAGGAAAATGGACCACTAAGAATTCATGTACGTCATATTCTACAACACAATAATTATGATGAAGTGTCCATCACATTTTATATCAGGTAAGCTACATTCATTCAGATATAAGAAGCAAAATACTGAATATTAATAAGTAGTGCATGACTCCGAATTCCTTGACATTGTGTGAAAATAAGTCAATGATGTTAGATGGTTAATAATCATATACATACATATGTACATACATATATATCATGTCATATCATATCATATCATATCATATCAACACAGGTCATGTTGTGCTGATATATGAGAATGCAGTCAAATGCAATGAAATTCATTGAGATACCAATGTGGAAAAGTGGTTCATCACATACTGACTGAGAGACTAGGATGTTTCAGTCTCAATATTTAGTTCAACCTTCAAAATGCTGATTTCTATATCTAGAATAAGTTGATTCAGGGCATGGGGAGGTCTCTTTGGGGAAGATGAAAAGGGAGCAATTTCAGCTGCCATAATGATCACGATGTATTCCTCAAGTTGTGATATATTTCTTAAAGTAAAAAATAGAATCCAATGATAGAGCTGTGCATAGAACCCTTGTAAGAAAGCCTCTAGGCAAGAGTAAATAAAGATGGCTTGAGCTGTTTGGGGCCACTTGAATACAATCTACTTGGTGGTCAAAAGGTACTCTGTGCCCACACCTCTTCCCTAACTCAGCACCTAAGCCAGAGTTGAGCCTGGACCATGGCAATAACCCTACATATGTAAATGTGAAGATGATGTCCATACCGGATTGTAACACCATGGGTCATGATGGAAACTATTTTCTAAAGATTCAAAGGTGATTTTGGAGAATTAGTAGATTTTATTATAGTGACAGAATAACATGCTTAGGAAAGAATGACTGAGATATTCATATGGTATACATACTTCCCAGGAACAGATTTTCTATCCCCACCATTATGTGTACACCTGCCCTTCCAATACCTGCTCAGGGTATGTACCAACACAGGAATCAAAAGATCTGTATTATCTAGGTGTTAGTGTGTGGCAAGTCAGCAAGTCTAAGTCCAAAGAATGTGTGCATGTGGGTGTGTGTATGTATACACACACAGACACACCACACACACACAGACACACACACACACACACACACACACACACACACACACATATATATATATATCAGTGTCTCAGTTCACAAATATATAAAACTTGTAAATTGGTCACAGGAGGACGATTTGTGGAGCAGGTGTGAACACTTTAGTAGAATTATCCATTCTTCATAGTGGATAAAAAGTATTGCAAGTTATCTGTGTGTTGAAGCCAAAAGGTGTATATGCAATGTCACCTGATGAAAATAGAGTTATTGTTATTTTGTGTTTAGGCAAAAGGAAGGATGCCAACTCTACACACTTCTGCTTCGTACATTTATTACTTTCATCGTAAGACCATCATGTGACTATCTTATGCTTTCAGGTGACTAAATATATATGCAGTGCATTAAATTCACACTCATAGTACTTAACACTGTAGTAGCTTTAACAAAGTATTTTAGAAAGTAAACTGATTCAGAAGAGGTTGATATTTGCATCATTGTTTCAGATAAGTCGAGATCATTGCAGAACCAAAGACTGGGTGAAGATGCTTATGTGACAGGATTCTGGATGTTCCCCGATACATTCTCTACTCTCCCAGAAAGTTGGCTTCAGAATGAAAAAAATGGAACCAGAGGTGTGTGAAATACTAAATCTATTCTGCTAATGATCCATCTACGTCATTTTGGCTCCTCATCCTAAATTTCCACAGACATCACAACCCATGAACCAAGTGGAAACATTTACACATTCTATCAATCTTAAGTAAATAAGTCAATTCTAGAATATATTTTACAAGTGTTTGAAACAGAAACAATGAAAAATGTATGAAGTTTAGTGAAATTATAGTCAGTTGATTATATGGGCAATCTTGGTAACTGAAGAGTTTTCTAGTATAGGATAAGAGAGTTTTTGCATGAAGAAAACTAAATAAAATATTTTGTTTGATGATACAGTAAGAAAGTCAGTGTTTGGTATTCATGCCAGTCTGAAAATGTAGCAAGTGGTTTATGAAAATTATAAAACCTCTGATTGGGTTAAATCACCTGAATTTGATGAGAATAGAAAAAAATGATCATACATATTTTGTTCGACAATTACAGAATTTCAGTACTATACTTTGTTAAATATTTGTAAAAAGTCTTATATAGAAAGTTAAAATTACACATTAGGTATCATGCTTTTTAGGGAAATATAAAGTGCATAAAGTTTTATTTTAGGAATATTTATTTATTCAAATAATATACTAACATTTGGGTTTTTCAGTTTTTATTTATCGCATAAAATGTACATTAAAGTAGAATTTTGTGACACACACATATACTTATTTCACAAATCATAATAATTATTTTTATTACCAAATTTCTAAAAAATTTAAATGTTAGAATGAATATCTTGAATTTTATTAAATTTTCATAGAATATTCATAATCACAAGATAGTAATGACTGTCACTGACAATTCAGAAACTACAATGAATTATTAAAATTTATTTATTTATTCAGTTTTTGATGGTAGAATTCCTACTTTATGCATACACAAGCACAAATAACCAAATCAAAGTAAAGAACAGAATACGTTCATAATGTAGTCCAAATGAAATATTTCTTCTCAGTCTCAGGTGTCTTATTATTTGAATTATATCGTGTTTCAAATACGACATTCATCATGCGCATCAACTTTGTTGAAAAGAATGGAAAAAATGGAAATTTGTGTGCAGCATTCTGTAAGTGCAATATCTAATTTAAGATGGATATGAACATGTTTAGCCTGCCTTTTTATAAGAAAATATTTAACATCTATTTTCAAGAATCAGCTTTATTTGGCAGGAAGTCTCTCTTCAGATATGTACAGGACCACATTTTGGGGTACATAGAATTCCTACCTAAGTTTACATACCTCTTTTTCAGTCAGAAATGTCTATGAAAAGAGTGGCAAGGATCACACATATAAGACATCAGTTTCCACTACCAAAGTTTTGTGTGTCACACCATGCCTGGGGAAAAATAAAGAAATATCTTCCCTAAACCAAAGACTTTATTTTCACATCAAATATATTGGAAAATAAACTATACTTATGATAATGAATATAAATTATCTATCAGATATAAGTCCATTTATTGTGAAGTAACTTGGTGTACCCAGAATGCTGATTTAGTCTCCATATATAATTATACAAAGTAAAATATCATTATTTGAAGTATCTTTAGAAAAATTACATCTACCTGATATCAAATTAGAGATTGGCATTGGTGCTTTGCAAGAAGACTCTAGAAGGAAATGATTAATGAAACCTCTGATATGTGAACCATTCTGAAGTGGAAAGCTGAACAGTCATCAAAATACCATCAGCACAAATCAGAGTTGATAGGTTAAAAAAAGAAGTGTGTGTGTGTGTGTGTGTGTGTGTGTGTGTGTGTGTTGATTGAGTAGAAAATAATGGGTAGTGCATATGAGAAGATGTAGCAGCAATGTGTATTTGATTCAAATCTACAGAAGAAAATATTCAAGACATGATATTTAATAATCAAAAAATTTCCATACCATATTTAGTCAGAAATGTCTATGAAGTGAGTGGCAAGCATCACATATATAAGACATCAGTTTTCACAAGCAAAGATTGTGTGTCACCATCCTCTGGTAGAAGTGAAGAAATGCCTTCACAAAACTAAAGACTTCATTTTGACATCAAATTTATTGGAAAATTAACAATACTTATGATAATGAACATGAACTTCCTATCAGATATAAGGTCATTAATTGTGATGTTCCTTGGTGTACCCAGAATGCTGACTTAGTCTCCATATATAATTCTAGAAAGTAAAATATCATTATCTGAAGAATCTTTAAAAAAGAAACAATATTACATTTACTAGATAACAAATCAGAGATTGGCATTTGTCCTTTACAAGAAGACTCTCGAAGGAAACGATTGATGAAAACTCTGGTATGTTAACCATTCTGAAGTGGAATGCCACATGCCCATCAAAATATCATCATCACAAAACAGAGTTGACAGGTTAAAAGAAAATGTGTGTGTGTGTGTGTGTGTGTGTGTGTGTGTGTGTGTGTGTGTGTGTATTGATTGAGTAGAAAATAATTGGTAGTGGATCTCAATGGACTTTCAGCAATGTGTATTTCCTCCACATTCACAGAACACTTAAGAAATTAAATTTAAAAATAAATAAAGTTATGTAGGTCTAGACAAAAAAATTGAGAGATTCATATTTCAGAAACAGCCATACGTCTAATGGTCATCTCTCTTTACTCCCTTATTTAATAAAGCAAAAGAAGCCAGTCTCAGTGAAGAATCATGGGACATCTATGTGAAAATGTCTGCTGCATATGGAATCCGAAGAGAAAATATACAAGATATCCTCAAAAACGGTAAATATTTGTGTTTCACAAAGAGGATATTGATCTGAAATGAGAGAAAATAATGAAATTTCTTGATTTCCATTTCGATTCTTGAAAAACAGAAATAAAAATTATTGAGCCAATGAATGAAATTTTTGACTTTGTATATCTTGTACTTCACAGACACCTGTCCTCAATGAACCTATGGATTTGGTGAGTTAAAGTAAAATAAAAATATTTGTCTGTGAGACTTCCATATAGTAAACAAAACAACCATTTAATAAAAATATTCTATCCAGAAAAAAAAACAAGTATATTATGGGAAAACTTTTACAATAATACAAAAAAGGTAAAAACATTAAAACTTCAAGAAAAACAAAAACTATACCTGAAATCATTAAGAAAATATCCCTATGCATTTTAAAAATCATAGAGTTCTACAGTATCCTTTATTTATTATGTATGAGATGTAAAAAAATAAAATAAAATTGACTGAGGGACTGCAATCACTTCAAGGCCAATTGAAGACATATCATGAGCAATGAATCACTATATATGATGAACACATCTGCTTAACTGTTTAATGTGCTACACTGACTAGAATTAACAACTCACAATATAAAGGGGATTTGAATTTATGAAACTTACATATATATTTTTCTGTAATAAATGCAAACTGAAGCACTTGATAAAATAAGGTTTCTTATGTCTAAAATCATCAGAATTGTGCAAATATTAAATCTTTAATCTAGTCCCTATGATCAAATTTCTGCTCAAGAATTCCATCATTCTGCACCGCATCTCTCAAACATGAACTTCTATATGTTCTATAAAACTTACTGTATTCATTTGCATTTGATATATTTCCATTGATGTTTCTAATTTGAAATTTGTAATTTCACAGGTTTCAAGATTGATATGACTTGCTACATATCTGTCCATGGCATCTAATTCACGAATGTGAAGGTGGACCTATCTTTCTTTCCCAATTGTGCATTCACCTCTCTCGTATAGTTCAGATTCTTCACACTGTTTTTTCCTCAAGTTTCTTCCTTTGCCCTGTTTAGTAGAATTTTCTTTCTCTGTGAATCAATGAATAAATTTCATCTTCTAGCATAAACTTTTTGAAAATATACTGCGTTATTTAGATCATCAGTATGGGACTCATTTTTTGTATGAATGTGTGTATAGAATGGGTGTGAATGGCAATGTCTGTAGAGTCTTTGTGTGCATCTATATCAAGGTCTTTGTGTGCAGTGCAAGCATAAAATTTGGGATTGAGTTCCTCCTACCCACCTTCTCCTGGGTGATAGGCATTAAAATCAGATTGTCAAACTTAAAAATCCAAAGCTTTTCCTGGGCAGTGTTAGGACATGCCTTTAATCCCAGCACACAGAAGGTAGAGCCAGGAGAATCTCTGTGAGTTCAATGCCAGCCTGGTATACAGAGTGAGATCCAGGACAGGCACCAAAACATCACTGAGAAACCCTGTCTCAAAAAACAAACAAACAGGCCGGGC